AAAAAAAAAAAAAAAAAAAAAAAAGCCCAGAAAACCATTACATCACGTGACTTCAGTAAAGGTGCCTATTGTGATCGAAATTTTCAAAAATTAAAATCAACCAGTAGTCTGACACCATATCAGGATAAAATAAGATCATGCGGGCCGCCGCTCACTCAGCCTTGACTGACTGCACCAGAAATAACCTGACCCGGCTCAGTTTGACCGCACCCAGCTACACCACCGGTGCTTTCCAGCAGCTAGAGATGACCAACAATAGTACGCACTTACTTCAAGAACTTTCTGCCCGACAGTGAGAGGTAACGGATGCTACCCAATAAAAATTCACCAGGCTTTTAAGCTTTTGTATCTCCTGCTTGCAAACCAATATCAACTAAGCCCAAAGTCAGCTCTGGGCTGATGCTTTGGGAGCGATTCCCCCGCCAGCCGCCGACACAAGGGACTTGGTCGCCTTCCCACTGCTTGGGGCAGAGCATTTTCCAGTCGGTTTGGTACTGGTTCCGCAACGCTATCTTTTTAGATGCTGTTTTCCTCATTTTAAGCGACAAATCGGTTAGATGTAACATCTGCTGTAGCTGCTGCTTCTTAAAGCTTTATCACGTTAGCTTGCCTTGCAGCACTTACCGGTCAGCTCCGCACGTCACCTGAGCGTGTCAGGACACCCCAGAAGGTGCCACGCCGTCCCCCAACAGCACACCCCCTAAAAACAGAGGGGGAAATGAGTGTGGCGGCGCCCACGCAGCAACCTTGAGAGACGCGGCAACAGGACGGTAGGAAGCTCTCCTTGAAAAGGTTGCCAAAGCCAGAATATTTTTCTAGACCCCAGATGACGAGTATATAAAATCACTAACCGGGTCCCTACTCACCCTGAAGATGCGCAGCCCTTGCCCCTCACCCTTTTGGAGGCCTTCTCAGCGCTCACAGAAGAGGAAGTACCTCGCTTCTTATCTCGAGCGCCAGTTTCACAAAGAATCTTGTGGTTGGGCCTGAAGGCTGGCGTTGTTTGGGGGCGTTTGTATAATGCAAGGTCCATGAATTCCCTGCCATTAAAGTAATTGAAATAGTGCATTAGCCAGAGCAGGCCGTACTCAAGGGCCTCGGAGAATGAACGAGGAAATGGGGATGCTCCTCCACGGGGCAAGCCTGACGACAGCGCGGTGTGAGCTCCTGTCTTCTCCAAGGAAATGGCTCCAACTAGTAAGAGGGCCTCTTAATTCTTGCTGTGAACACGATCGGTGCTTGCGAGTGTGCAGATGTCATAGTGAACCCCGTTAATTTGTGCACTTAATGCATGGTAATCGTAATTTAAAAATTTGAATTGAAAATTATACTTCTTACTATGAGAGAGAGAGATTGAGAGGGATTGAGAGAGAGAGAGAGATTGAGAGAGCCAGCATATCTTTGCTTTATCTAGTTCCCTGTTATTACTTCCTCAACTTACTGCTTTGGGTCAATGCCCAAATCTTGACACTTAATCTTTGTCCTTAACATAGCCCTACAACTCATCTACTTAGCTGACAAAGTGCTGGACTGAGTTTTTTGACTTACCTTTTCTTCCTTTCTTTCTTTTTCTTTTCTCTTTCTGCTTCTCTCTGTCTTTCTCTCTCCCTCCCTCTCTCTTTCTTTCTAAAGGAAATATGTCTCATTCATATCAGAAGACTTTGATTTCCAGTATAGTTATGGCAAACACCCCTTAGTCCAGTAAGCCCGAACATACATTTGCAATTTCCTCTTAATCTAGATTTATGAAACATGGCCTTATGATCCCTGAAATTAACACATTTTTTTCCGGTCTTCCATTCATTTTTTATAAATTAATAAGAGTTAATGCAATAAAATATTTAAACAAGCATCTAGATACAGCTGTATAAACAGCTCAGCAACAGCTCCGTGATGGTTAATCTTTTTTTTTTTTTTTTTTTGAGACGGTCTCACTATGTAGCCCAGGCTAGCCTCAAACTCATGGTATCCTCCTGCCTCAGCCTCCCAAGTGCTGGGATTACAGGCGTGTGCCATTGTGTCTGGCCATGATGGATAATCTTGATTTCCTTTATTGATGCCTAGGAGGTAAGTAAAACATGCCTCCGTGTATGCACGGATGGGACACGGGAATGTGGCCTTGTGGGCTGGACCTGCCCCCTGGCCCCTTTCCTTCCAGCTCTGTTCCCGTGTTCTGCTTCCTTGTCCTAAAGCGAGTGGCTTTCCATGCCCTTTGCCCATGGTGACAGCGTCGGTGACAGCCAATCATGGATGGAAATCTCTGAAGCCAGGAGCCCGAATCAAACCTTTAATCACTCAGTTGTACAGGTCAGGTATTTTATCCCAGCAACTGATATAAGGGAAATAATACAACTCCCAACCTGTTACATGTCAGATACTCCAAGTTCATGCTGGGTAGGCGTATAACATTAAGTCTGGAGGAGACGTGGACAAAGAAACAGGAGAGTGTGTATGGGTCCCATAAGATCAACAGCCTACTCAAGGTGAGAACACCTGGCGCTTATTGAGGGCCTTCAGGTGGACCCTCTCGAGAGTATCTCTGACTGCCGATCACAACTACAACTACCACCCCCTTCAGCTGAAACGAGCCAGAACGGTTATTGCCTCATCCCCTCAGAGCAGCAAGGAGCACCTCTGTTATGCAGGTGGCTAAGTTAGGTAGAAATGTTATAGGCAGTCAGATAGGGCTGGGCCCCCAAGGGAGTCAGTGCAGGAGATGAAAGTAGATTACAAGTGTGGCTGGAGGTGCATCTGCTGAAGCCCAGGCCTCGAGATAAAGACAGAATGACCAGGCCT